GAAGCTCACAGATATCTTTTGAGATAACTCAGACATTAATCCACTGAAAAATCGGTAGCATTTTCATCAAAGAAAAAAGACAGCAAATACCCTAGAGGCCCCCTCATGTGATGCTGGTCAAACTGACAAATGTGCACAACCTCAAGGTCTGTGGGTTCCCTCCCGTCTCAGAAGGAAAGAGTTACTGCTACAATAGCAGCAGATGAAAACCAAAGATAAACACCTAACCAGCATCCTATCAGTGCTGCAGCTTTATTAGTAGTCCAAAGATTACAAGAAAGCCACAGGTCAGAAACGCTGTAGGACACTAGGCTCCTTACACACCAGGCTCTTCCTTGGTCTTGCACATGACACTTCAGCTGTTGTTTCCTCATAAAGCACCAAGACAATTTAAAAAGTTCTGTGGATTTCAGGAAGGCTCCCATCTCCTATTTTACTTAATCCAATTTCACTCCGGGCTCCCCAAAGAATGATCACACTGTCTCCCTTACCCGCAGCAGGGCGTTCCAACAGTTATAACAAGTCCAACTGAGCAGCTAATCCAAGAAAAAAGCCACAAAGTGTCTCTCTGAATCAGACGAACTCACTTTTAGAGAGCAGCCTGGGTTTAGACCATGAAGCTGCACAAAGCAGACTGTGTCACGTGCTACTGACCAGCCTCATTACCGGATCACAACACTGCCAGTCCCCTCCCCTGCCCCCAGCTCATTTCAGCATCTCTTGCCCTGTTCACAGCTGTCTGTGAATCACAGAGTAGCTGAGGTTGGAAGGGCCCTCTGAAGATCATCTGGTCCAACCCCCCTGCTGGGCAGGGGAGGTGAAACTTCACTGCTGAGCAGAGCAGGGAACTGGTCCAACACAAAACATTTCTGTGGGGTTTTAGATAATGAAGCTGTACAGATCGTTACCCTATCCCCTAAACAGTTGTTGTACCAGCTCAATGCAAGACTGGCACAGGACTGGAAACAGGAACAGATTTTTTTGCTATTGATAGTCTGGTCTCGTCTCTAGAAGCAGACCTGCAGCCACTTTGAAGCTAGGCCGTGCGTGCAGTGGATCCTGTGACAAGATTCTCAGCTAATAACCTTCTGAGAGAAACTGCACCTAAACAAACGATCCATTTTGAACACCAAGGGAAGAGTCAAAAGACCTCAGGAAAGTCCCAAACCTGCCTGCTGTTGAGAAAGACTGCCTTAGAGATACCCATTCTGTCACACACCCAGAAACAATGTACTGGACCAAATCCAACAAAAACCACCCACAAACACTGAACACCTGTCATCAAGAACCACAAAGAGAAAGAAAATCCAAAGCAAGTTAAGCCCCTCAACACTTTAAGTACATTCTCCCACTGGGAAAAGGACAGATCAGAAGACAGTTATTCTCCATAACACCATCCTGCATCTTTACACCAGAAAGCAAGTTTCTAGATTATCATGCCTATGACTGCAAAAGGAGTTAATAGCTAGGAACCTTTGAGCACTCTGCTATTTTTCTAAATCCTGCTCATCTCAACCTGTCACCAGCAATGCTTCCAGCATCAGCACAAGGAAAGGTGGGCTACCTACTGTGCGAAAGTCTTCTTCAAACTTATAAGCGCCACCTCCCGTGGCACAGAGCACCGTGTGTAGTGTTGAAAAGTTTTTATTTCTTCCCATTTGGATAAAAGTAGGCAAATCGTGAGTTGGAAATCTAATAAAGTGCAAGTTTCCTCTGCGACCAAAAATGGTTAAGTCTTTCAGCTCAAGGTGGACATCTCGAATGCCAGTGGATCCATAGGCTACGTTGGATGTCAGGTATTTGCGGATGCTCTTCAAGCTTTCAACTTCCTCCTGCTCCTCCTCTGCAGTGATATCGATAGGTTCAAAATATGCGAGTTTCACCAAAGTTCCCCCAATGTCCATGCCAAACCATGGGAAAGCTGTGGAGATAAGAAGGGCTTGATTAGCTTTGGCAAACAGCAAAAGCAACGCGCCTAAGCCTAAGGCTAAACCAACACTATACCTTTCAGAAGGAAGGCATGGAACAGAAATCCTCCCGAGAGCAAAGAATGAGCACTCATTTCTATTAAACTGTCTGAAATACACCTCTGACCACAGCTAAAAATGGAACAACGAGCAACTATTTACACCTTGAAACGCTGTCACGTGCTCAGAAAACTCAGCTAAGCCCCTCCCAAGCCACACTTTATCTTTCTATAAGAAATTCAACTACCTCTTTTTTTTTTTTTCTTTTTTTGAGACCAAAGCACTAAGGTAAGCTTCCTTCCTCAAGTTACAGTTCTAACGTAGTTCAGCAAAAGACTGCAGTGCACACTGGTGGAAAAACAAGTTGCACGTAGTAGCTGACGACAGCAGCAGGACGAGCAGTCATTGTCCAACAGTTACTTTGTCTTGCTCATGCAACACGTTGATTTGTTTGATAGGAAAGCATTAACGTATTCACACATTTTAAAATCTGACAGAGGAAGTCCAATTTATGAAAGTGAAGAGAACTGTTCATGTATCCCACTGCAGTCACAAATGGCTTATAATTTAGAAATTACTATTGATTATATAAATAATGCAAAAAGCATTATTAAGAAGTGCAAGCAAGACAGAGTTACTGAGTCTAAGTTCCACTTCCCTCTTCTACACCTCAGGTAGGACGGGGGAATTTCTGTAAGAAACATACCAGCATTTTGCCTGCATCACTTTAGAGGGAAGACGAGGGGAGTCATCCCACGAGACAGACCTTACGCAACGGCAGCTCCACAGGACGCTTTGCTCACATCTGTCATTTCCACCCCCAAATAACCTTTGGAAGTTTATCTTACAGGCCGCGGTCATTCTTCCCCATAAGGATCATCTTAGAGGAGCTATCACACAACTGGTTGTTGGAAAGGACCTCTAGAGGTCACCTCCTCCAGCCTCTGCTTCGTGCTAGCAGGAGTGCTGCCTGTGCTAGACGGGGTGAACTACAGCTCTGGGTAGCCAAGACCTGACAGCCTCCACAGGCTTTCAAGGATGGAGCTCTCAGAACCTCTCCTGCCTCCCCTCTTACACCAACTACTTGGTCTAAGTTCTTCCCAATCGGAATTTGTTACCTCCGTTAAAACGCCTGTCACTTCCCATCACATCCAAAGGGAGTTTAAATGCCCTTCAAGGGGAGGATCCCAGCACCATGCCCAGGCAGCGGACCCGCCTCAGAAGCCGTAAGTTCAGCAGGTGCCTCCATCCAGCCTCACCCTCCCCTACCAGTCGCTCAGTCGCGCTTGCTTTCTTGATGCTACACGTCACGGATAAAAGTTGTGGCAGGCTGACCTTCTCAACTCGACTTTGTAGGCTCTTATCAACAGGCTAATGGCCTCTTCCCGTACAATGGTTAACCACCTTCCCCCCCGAAATTGGGCTCCAGCACCGATGATTAAATACGCACTTCCTCTGAGAACTTTGCACTGCCTCAACAACAATTCTCCTGAAAAGTGTCTGTCCTACACCGCCGAGCTACAAACCATTGGGCTAAGAGCAGTACGAGGAGCCCAGCCCAGTGTCACGGTCTATTTGGGCGTATAAGCCAAATTCACTGCAGTATCTGTCACTTGGAGGCACAGGACCCCCAGATACCTGTGGGCCTTTCCGATCTCTGCCGCAGCCTTTGTGGCCCCGCTCCTTTTCAAACACCCAGCTGCCCTGCCCCTGCAGTCAGCGTGATGATCAGGAGCACAGATGTGCAGAGTAAATCCAACGTCCACTACCTAATAAATTAATTGCTATTATAAAAAACCACCAGCTTTAAAATAGGCAACACTAAAATGACAGGATGAAACAAACCGCTTGATGCTGCACTCTTTCCTGCACTGCTCTTTGGCCCAATTGTTTCCAATTTCCATCACCCAAAACCACCATCAAAGTTCACTTTCAAGAGCCAGACGCCTGCAGCTCCAAACCCACTGCTCATTTCAAGCCATTAACATTTCTTGTTGACATTCAGCATCGTCGTTTGATGAAATTTATATCCACTACCAGAGAGAACAGCCGAGGCCCAGCAGCCATCCCCGAAATCAGCAGTTTTTGCCTCAGAAGCAACCTCGGACTGCTCTGAATTACCAAGCCACTACAACATCTTACGGGCCGTGCCTGCCTCAAGGTCACGACACCGCTCGTTGACATTAAAAATTATGTTGAGGGAGAAAAATTAAATCCACCCGAGCCGCCCTTTCGGCGAGCACGGCCGCAGGCAGCTCAGCGCCCCCCACATTAACCAGAGGCGGCGGCTGGCGGCACGCTGGCAGCGGGGCGGCTCATCCCCTCCCTGAGAGGCCAAACCGGGCGCTCCGGCCGCCACAGCCAGCTCCGGGCCGGGCCCCGCGGCGCTTCCCCAGCGGCCGGCCCGGCCCGAGCCCCCCTCCCCTGCCCGAGGGCAGCCCCCGGGCCCTACCGAGCCCCCTCAGCCCCCTCCCCTGCCCCGGCAGCCCTTACACGGCTTCTTGGCGTCCTTGATCTTCATGGCGCAGCGCTGCGGGCCGGGCCGGGCGGCGCTGTGTGCCCGGCCCCTCAGCCGATGGGGCGGGGGGGGGCCGGCGGGCGGCCCGAGCCGAGCCGGGGGCGGCCGCTGAGCTCAGGGGCGGCCGGGCCGGGCCCCGCGCGGCCGCTGTCCCGGCGGCGCCATGGGCTGGGCTGCGCTGGGCTGGGCTGGAGGCAGCGCGGGGAGCCCGGCCCCGGGCGCGGCGGCGGCGGCGGCTGCCCCCTGAGGCCGCCCCCTGAGGCGGCCCCGGCCCGGGCGGAGGCGGCGGCGGCGGCGCCTGGGGCACAAGATGGCGGCGGGCGCCGGGGAGCCGCGGCCGCGCCACACAATGGGGCCCGGGCAGCGCGCGCCCCGCCCCGCCCCGCGCTGCGCGCCGGGAGCCGCAGTCCGCGGGGAGCCGCGCTCCGCCTACAGCTCCCGGCGGCCCCCGCGGCAGCGCCCGCCCCGCCCCGCCCCGTCACCCCACGGCCCCGCCGCCAATCGGGAGGCGCCGCCGCCGCGCGGGGGGGCGGGGCCAGAGTCGCCTGAGGGAAGGCGCCGCCGCGCGGGGGGGGGCGGGGCCGGCGGGAGGGGGGCGGGGCTTGGAGGGGCTTGGGGGCGGGGCCTGGCGCGGGGGCGAGGAGCGGCGCAGGTAGGGGCGGGAGGGGGCGCCCGGGGGGTGCGGGGCGAGGCGGGGGGGGCTGGAGGGGACGGGGGCTCCACAAGGCCGCCCGGCAGCCCCAGGGCCGCAAGAACCTGAAAACAAAAATCGGATAGTTCCTAAAACACCCCCGGGTCTGGCCCAAGATAAGATGGGAGGGGGCGGTGTTAAGGAACGTTTTCCCTCACAGGACAGCCATTGGGGTCCAAAGAGAACGGCTGAGCGAGGGCCGTTAGGTGACTACAGGGTTGTGAAGGCAGTTGCAGGATCCTGTGAGGAGACACAGCCCTGCAGACCCCAGAACGAAGTGGGCACACAGCAGTTTGGTTTCATTACTCATAGGTCAGTCAGCAGCAGAGACCCTTGGGAAATTGTAGAAGATGCGACTGACAGATTGTATCAGCCCAGGGGCACTCGGACACTGTTACTTCCCTAACCCCCTTGATGATGATTTTGTTACTGTAAGAGGGGCAGCTGGCCAGAGCGAAAAGGCACATTTCCTTAAACCCCTAAAATACACATCGGGAAAACAAGGGAGAATCCACAAATTCTTCTACATGCTGAACTCTTCAAAACCTCTGCTGGGATGGGACCTGCTAGAGCAATTCGGGGCAGAAATAACCTTTGAATCAGGAAAATTTGAGTTTAAGGTAAAAGATGACCACTTAATAGAGATAATAAGTTCAGCTCTTGTCAGCGTCCCAGCTCAGACAGGGGTACCAAAGGGGATTAAAAACCAGGTTTATCCAAGGGTGTGGGCTACTGAAATGCCCAGACGAGCCCAAACCACCGCCCCCTATAGTAATTAGGTTAAAGTCAGGGGTTCATCCTGTAAGGATAAAGCAATATCCCATAAGGACTGAAGACAGAAAGGGAATTCAGCTGATAATTGATCGATTTATCAAAACCAGGCTGCTAAAAGAATGTGAATCAGAGTGTAATACCCCTATCCTGCCTGTAAAGAAACCAGATGGGAACTATCAGATTGTACAAGATTTGAGGGATGTAAATAAAATCGCTGAAGATTTGCACCCATTGGTGAGAAATCCGTATGCTTTGCTCTTAAAATTAATCAGTGAATTGGCTTGGTTTACCGTGTTGGATCTGAAGGACGCCTTCTGCCTGTCCCTTGCCTCAGTCAGTCTATTTTTGCATTTGAATGGGAAAACTCTGATTCATGAAGAAAAACACAACTAACATGGACTGTACCCTCCCAGGGGTTTAAAAATAGTCCCGCTCTTCTTGGGAATCAGCTTGCGAAAGATCTTGAACAGTGGGAGCACCCACCCGGGAAAGGGGTGCTACTACATGTGGCCGACTTACTGATAGCCACCAGTGAAAAGGAACATTGAGAAAATTGGACAGTGAGTTTGTTGAACTTCCTCGGTCTTAATGGATATTGAGTCCCTCCACAGAAAGTTCAGACTGCCTTGCAGCCAGTGACCTGAAATCACTGCCAGGCTGTGAACCCTGGGAACGGCAAGGAAAGGAGCCATTTGCCACACTCCTGAGTTAAGGAGCTCCACATGTTCTTGGTGGAAATTTTGGAGAACCAGTATCACATGGCTGCTTGGAAACGATTGAGGCTGTGTATTCGAGCCATCCAGAGCTGAAAGAAGAACTGCTGGAGGATGCTGAGGACACATGGTACACCGACAGCAGCAGCTTTGTGCGACAGGGCACACGTAAAGCAGGGTAACAACTGCTGACCAGGTAGTCGAGTCAGGAAGCCTTGGCTCCAACACCTCAGCACAAAAGGCAGAAATAATAGCCTTGACCCGAGATTTGGAACTAGCAAAAGGAAAGAAAATTAACATATGGACAGACTCAAAATATGCTTTCGGAGTAGTGCATGCCCACGGGGCTGCATGGAAAGAAAGAGGCAGTCGGCAATGCTCTGGCAGACAAAGAGGCCAAAAGGGCGGCGGAGGAAGGGGAGGCAGACATACAGCCTCTGATCCCAGACGGTAAAATCCAAACAGAATGAGAGCCTAAATATTCTAAGGAGGATCTGAAATTGATAGAGGATTTAGAAGGGAAGGTAAAAAAAGGGAAATGAGCCACCACACAGACTAAAACTGTGGTTCCCTTAGCTCTTCTATGGTCAGTAGTAATGTCTGAACATAGAAAGACCTGTTGGGGTGCAGAAGCCTTGTATAAATACCTAAACCAACGGATAGTTGCACGGAATTTGTACACCACTGTTAGACAAGTAATGCAACGGTGCCAGATCTGCTTACAAAATAACCCTCAGACAGGTGTTAGGGCTCCGACAGGGAGAGGAAATCACCCTGGGCAGCAGTGGCAGATTGATTTTTCAGAACTGCCAAGAAAAGGAGGGTTTCGGTATCTGTTGGTTCTGACAGACACCTTTTCGGGCTGGCCAGAAGCATTCCCTTGCAGAACAAGTAAAGCCAAGGAAGTAACTAAAATATTACTGCAGGAGATTATACCACGGTTTGGAGTCCCAGCAGTAATGTCACCAGATACAAGACCCCACTTTATCGCCAAGATAGTAGGTGGAAAAGATGACCCGTTTAATCAAGCTCCAAATTGTTAAGTTAGGACAAGAGGCTGGGATGCCCTGGCCACAGGCCCTGCCATGGGCACTTTTAAGAATCCACACAAAACCTAGAGCAAAGGAAGGGGTCAGCCCGTTTGAAGTTTTATAAGGGAGACCATATCTGGTGCAGAAGGGAGTTTCTAGTCAAGTGAGATGTGAAGCATTAACAGGGTACTTGATAAGTTTACAGAAACAATTATGAGAAGCTGATCCTAGGGACTAGGGCAAGGGGGCTAGGTGGTCCTGTACATAACATATTGCCTGCAGATTATGTGTACGTTAAATCCCTGTCAGATTCACCATTGGAACCGAAGTGGGAGGGCCCGTTCCAAGTGCTGCTGACTTCTCACACTGCTATCAAGATAAAAGAACAAGCTCCCTGGATTCATCACACCCAGGTTAAGAAGGTGCAGAAGCCATCCTGGACGGTTAAGCAAACAGGACTGCTCCGACTATCGCTCAAGAAACAGAATGATTAATGTTTTGTTTGTAGTATGGGGTTTAGGGGTTGCCAGGGCATGGGAAGGAAATCTACATTTTAACAACACCGAAGGAATGGGGAATGCCTTAAATCTGTCCTCGTGCTGGACTTGCACAGCCCTCCCCAGAGGGAATGTGGAATCTCCCCTTTTTGGAGTTCCGGTGTCCTACGCAAACTGGAGTTGGCCATATGACAACCTAAAAAATGCTACCCTGCCTTCTGGGGAAAGCCTGCTCTGGAGGGTGGGGGAATCCTGCCCTCCAGGACAGCAACTAAGCAAACTTCCAAATGGGGAGACCCTTTGTTGGGGCTTCTCGTCACCCTTACCAGCAAGAGGAACCCCGCTGCCGTCTTACACTTGCGGAAACAACAGCATTCATGCTCTTAAATTTCAGTTGCAGGAACTGGGAAAAACAATATTTATACAAAGGAAGAATGACACTGCCCCAAGAGTGGGGCACTTTAAATTAAGTGCTCTTAATGGAGCAACCATATGCAGCAAGGATACCCAGTCAAACTCGTCAGGATGCCCGGCACCAATCATGGCAGGACTACAACTCAATTACTCCTACAGCTGTGTCCCAGATGGATTATGGTGGTTATGTGGGGATGGCCATGCCAGAAAATCCTTGCCAGACCACTGGGATGGGACCTGTACCTTGGGGTATGTTATCCCTCAAGGCAGAGTGTTTAATCAGACAAGGCCACCAGCAGGATTATTGAGGACATTGTGGAAAAGGAGTAAGTGACACCTTCCAACCCGCAGTCGATAGGCCAACGGGTTATCACAGCTTTCTGCGTTGGCTCATGCTGTCTCCAGGAGTGAGTGAATTAGAAAAGGCATTAGTAAGTATTTCCGCCACATTGGAGAAAAAAAGACAATTTTACCATAGACTGAGAGCATTGCAGGTTGAAGTGAGCTCTCTAAGTACTGTAGGACTGCAAAATCAAATGGCATTAGACTTGTTGATGGTCAAAGAAGGCAGAGTGTGCACTGTAATCAAAGTTGTCATACATAAAACAAGACAAAAGAATCAAGACAGATCGTGAGAAAGTTTGGGAACAATCAAAACTCTTCCATCTAGCACCAATGGATGATACCATGTGGGGTTTTACAGACATTTGGGATAAGCTTACCAGGTGGTTACCTAATTTCAGGATCAAGCAGCTTTCCCTCGCTTGCATTGCTATGTTATTTCTTGAGATTTTTATATTCTGTATTTTATACTGTTTTCTTTTCCTATGTCATCAAACCGGGCGTACCTACAAAGAATGGAAGAAGCACAGGCTGAGGCAAAGGACAGAAGAAGGGAAGGATTTTCTAGATAGAAATGGAATAATCTGTCAAGAAGCTGCTAGATTAAAAAGGAGGAATTGAGAGAAAGAAAGACCAATTAATGTCCTTGTAGCAAGGGGCCCAGAACTGAACCCAGCACTCGAGGTGTGGCCTCACCAGCGCAGAGCACAGGGGAACCATCACCTCCCTGCTGCTGCTGGCTGCGCTGCTCCTGATGCAAGCCGGGGTGCCACTGGGCTAAGAAGCCTCCTATGTGGGGAGGGCGCGGGGGTGTGCTTTATTGGTAAATAAAGATGGGAGCTCAAAAACGTTGTGCTGTCTTTTCCTGAGAGGGGCTGGAAGTGCTCACACAACTTTAGGATGCTGTTTGCTGGGGCCTGGACCCCAAAAGCTCCTGCTCATCATGAGGAAGGTTTTGTGCCAAGGCTGCCACTGCATGCCCTGCTGCCGGCAGTCGACCTGGCTAGGGCTTGCCTGCTGCTCACAACTTGAAAGTTTTACATCAAAAGCTCAGAGCAGGCATCCATTTCCCCCTTCTGTATGTCACACAGCTACATCAGCTACTCAGATCTAGGATGGCTCTAAGAGCCGTGGTCCAGAAGCAGGATTTGGCTATCGGCTCCTTCCTGAAAGTTTCCCCATCAATGTTCCTGGAGCTGCACCACCAGAAGCGTTTGCTGAGCAACCCGTGGCAAAATGATTTGAGACTAGAGCAGATTCCTGGACAAGAGCTGTGCTCGCTGTTACTGCGTGGCAACAGGAGCTGCCACCTCATCCTCTGCTCTCCACACATACCAAGAAAACCCATTTACCACCTTAGCTTAGTCCTGGTCACATGCACCTTCTCCAGGGGAGGATTATTATTATTATTTTATTTTATAGCCCTACTAAAGGAAGATTTCATATGTAGACCTGCCCTCAGTTCCTGCTCGTTAGGGCCAGGCAGGGCTTTGTTCCACATGCTGACAACCTCTTTGTGCACTATAAGGAAGCCCAGTTGCCTTGATAAGGGTCCTGAGATCTGCTTTGAGTGCCTGGTATTTTGTTAGGTCTCATTCTAAAGCACGTCATAAAAGGATATATGTCTTTCTATATATATCTGCACACACACACACACACATATATATATAAAATGAAGCTAAAGTTCTTCTGTGGATACAATTGCCCATTTATCACGTTTCATTTCTCAAATGTCTGCACCTGAAAAAATTACTCTTTTTAATGTTTACTTCTTGCTCTTTAGAGGAAGTTACAAATGTATAAGCAAAGCTACATAGTTCGTGTCTTCCTGTAAATTGTATGTAATTGTGGAAAGTCCACCAGGGTGTTCTGGGGAAATTTTGATGTGGCTTTGCAGTTTTTGGTTGCACTGTAACTTGCAACTGAAATGTTAAACATAGGCATTTACATACGTGATAGGGAATACAAAAATTTAGCTGCTACCTGGAAGCAAATTGTGCCCTTTCAGAAATACACATTCTGATTGTAAGATACAGGCTTTAATTTCCTGCCCGTACCAGACCATGCAGTGTGGAATGTTCTGTGTAAAGTGATCTATGCAGTGTCTCATTGGCATCTCTGGAAGGGTTGGGAAAAACAGATCTGCAATGAGATTTTTAAGTACCTTAATCCTGAGATATTTTTTTCCAGGGCTTGCACTCTTGACTATGTTTCCTACATACCTTTTAACTTTAACAGAAACGATCTACCGTCTCTGGGAAGTGTCAGCAATAAACATACACATACCACCTCGAAAATCAAGAAAAGAAAAGTCTACAGACTGACAGATGCCCAATTCCTGCTGTCTTGTAACAGGCAGAAAACACCCAGACCCAGCCTTGTGCTGAGGAAATGAACATTTATAATTCTCAATTTCCAGCACTGCAGACTCAGTGATTGATTTCCTAGTTTTTGTCTCTGACTTCAGAGAAAGAGAAAAAAAAAAAAAAAAAAAGTATTTTCTGCATGAGTTGCTGAGGAGCAAGTTCTGAATATATATGCACATGAATATCGTGGGTGACCACTTTAAAGCTATTTTATGTAGCAAATCTTCTTAATTTGTTTTCCCATGTAAAAAAAAGGGAATAAGTAAAGGGCTCTGTGGTAATTAATAAACCAAGCGCTGTTCAATTAAAAACAAGATCAACAAATCTGAAAGTTTAGTTTAAGAATTGCTTCGTAAGAACACAAAATACTTTGTCTAAACATCATCAACTGTGACAAAATGTATGAAAAAACAAGCCAAGCTCCACTTGCATCTATCTTTGTCTGCCTCAGAGTAGAGGCTTTGCACAAACTGGAAGTTTAACACAGCCTGTGACAGGCTCCAAACATTTATTAATTTGCAAGTCAAATCGAGCTGTAGGTTATGAGCACTTCTAGACTGGAGTTACCTGTACATTAGTCACTACATTGCCTTGACTAGCTCATAAATACATCTGAAAGTGAATTGATGGTCATCCAGAAATACAAGAAATGTAGTTCTTGCATGTGCATGTATAAATATATGTGCTTTTGTATAGCCAATTCCAAGTGTTTGTTGTTTACAACCATGCTAAAACATTATACAGTGTCCAGGTGGGATGAAACCACTTGAGAGGATTTTATATGAAAGACACACCTGAAGTCGGGGAGTCAGGGACTTTTTTTTTTTTTTTTTAAACAAGCATTACTTACATAGATGTTTCAGGGCTAAACAAAAATTGTTTCATCACTGTATTATATTAGAATCTAATTTTATCTTGCTACGACCAACTTGATATATCTGGATCTTTGTGACTTAAACCATATTTTGCCTCTTATCTCAGCACAGTAAAATATATAAATTTAAATAAACAAAACCACCATCCTGGTAATTTAATGACTGCTTTACCCGGAATAAACTATGACAGTTTAAACGATCGGTGTGATTAAGAAAGCTTAAGCTCCTCATAGGTACCGCCTGCTGTGCACGCTCTTATCTCACAGTAGGCGAAAGCACGATAGCATCTCGCATGCTTCAAAGTCCCAATGTAAATTACTTTGTGGTATGAGGTTCCTGTAACCTGGCTCTGCACGCAAAGTATCTGAGGCAGGGCTAAGTAATTTGCCTGCCATTAATGGCACTTCCCAGTGGAGGACCATGGTTTCGGTTGCTTGTCACCTCACAGAATTTCAGGTTTCTTAAGTTTCATGTCTATTATCTGCTTTGTGATATTTCTTCCACATTTTTAAGTTTCAGATCAGTTTCCAAGGATGAGTGTAGGGAAGAACAGACCTACTCTGGACTAGCACCTCCTGGCATTTTGTCAGGGTGATTGAATATGTACCTAAATTCTGCCTTTTCCTGCTGGAATGTAGAAATTCCTCTGTGTATCCAGGCCAGGATCAGCAGGCTCTGGGTCTCTGCACTGGAGGCAAAGTGGTGGCAAAGGCTGAGGGTGCCCAATGCAGGAGCAGGGCGGGGATGGCAGCGTACGGCCTGGCAGCCATGTGTGGCATGCTGGGCTCCCCTGTCCTACACAGTGGCAGTAGGTGAGGGGGAGCTGCTTGGGTCAATGCTGCTGAAAGACTGTGAGGACCACTGAAAAAGTAATGTAACTTCTCCCTGAGTTTTGAGCTTTCCCCTGAACACAAAAGCCATTGATCTTGTGGGACTCATATAACCCTCTTTCCTCCCTTCCATGTGTCTCAGACATAGGATTTGTACTCTTCCTCCCCACATAAAATGTGCATTTGTAAAGGATTATTCTTAGGGAAAAGGAGTGGTCCTTGTGCCATAGGGACAAGTCAGAAACAGTAGGAGAAGGCAGTGTCATCCACAGACTACCCTGAGGATCACTTTACTTTGAAAGCAGAAAAGCCCCGAGAAAGGAAGAGGTCAAGAGATCATGTAGGAACAAGATGCAAAGCTATGCAAATCTTGCAGCAACGTCTGTTCCCCCTGCCCGTGAGATTATGGGATGTCCCTATCTGCAATGGTGTACGTTTAAACTTCCCCATACTACTAAGTTCTGCTTGTACAGCACGTGTGCTCAGCTGCTAGCCCGAGGAGTTACTCACTGCCTGCAGGGCCCTCTGAGGGCTGGATGTGCTCAGAGGAACAGCTGGGCTTTCTTGCACAGAAAACAGGTAGCACTTGTGCTGCTGCTGGTGCAGAGTACAGCACTGCTGGGTAAGAAACTCTACAGACACACAGCAGTTACATCTAAACATGTGTGAGCAAACTACATAAGAATTAGGGTAGAAATAGCAGAATTAGTTGGTATTCCACAAGGTGCTAGCACATAAATAAGCAGTGGTACCTTCAACAGCAGCTGCCTTGTGACGCTGCCATCATGACATGGTGCTGAGGCCCCTGCAGCATGCAAGCAGCAGGGGAAGCCATCCATCCACCCACCCTGCTGCAGGAGCGATGGTGCCGGGCGAGCGCTGCGGGAAGGCACTGGACATCCCAGGTCCCACACGCGCCCTTCCAGAGCTTGGCAGGGTCACGCTGGCACTGCTGGTTTCTTTGGACTCCCAGGATGAAACTGCAGTCTCCTGGGCACAGCCACCCCAAGGCCTGTCGTAGTCAGTGGGAACTGCGGGTGCTTCTTCCTAACGGGAGCAATATGAACAACACTAGCCAGCTCACGGCACAGGATCAATGCCTATTTTATCATTTAAAAACAAAAATGATTTAATGAAACCAGAGCAGGTGCTGACCCCCGCTTCTTGCCTGTTGTCCCAGCCAGGACAGAATGAGCCATGCTGGGCATCGCTGCCATGGCCTTGGCCTCCCAGCAGCTGGGCTGGGCCAGGCCGGGCACAGTGGCCCTGCAGTGTCCATGTTTGAAGTAGGCGCATAGACCTACAAATGAGGAAATGCATGGCCACGAGCCCCTCAGCAGGGTGCAGGGAACACACAGAGCCACGTAAGTGGGGTGCTCCTGGGCTGCTGCTTGCCTGCATCCTACGGCCTCCCCAAGGACCCCAGCATGGGTGGCAGTGGCTGGCCCCAGCAGGGCCCCGTGCTCCAGTGGTCCCAGGGCAGGGTCCAGTGGTCCCAGGGCAGGTTAAAGCCAGGCCCCTGCACGGGGCAGAGATGCGTGGAGGTGGTGTGAGGTGAATCAGGGCTGGGGCTTGGCTCACAAAGCTGAATCGTGCACCGTAAGGCCTGAAGGCCTCTACCAGTGGCTGGCAGTACAGTCTCCTGGCACCTGTCAGGTTTCAAGGGTGGGGCCCAGCTACTGTTTTGGAACATCTTGTTTTCAACATCTCTTCAGTTGCACTCAAAAGCTATACGGCATGTCCTGGAAAAGCACTCTGGCTTGGCTCACAGACAAAATGATACAGGACTTGCAAGGCACTTGATCCAGTTTAACATCTAATTGGCCTTAAGCTAATGGGATTTCTCAAGACCACCCTAAGCTTGGCAAAACCAAACCAATTCCTGCTGCCTAGCCCACGAAACTAAGAGGCTGTCTTGTAGATACCTCATAGCTTTACACAAATAATTGGGTGCTAACTTAAAAGTTTACAGACCAGAAGTCATAGGACCCACAGAGACTAATGCAAAACCCACAGCAAAACACCCCACAAGCAGGAACACAATCTGGCTAGTCCTTGCCAAGTAAACAAACAACAACAACAACCAAGGACAAAGTAAGATAAGATTAACTTTCTCTCTGAATTATTTGCCACAGACCAATAAAGTGATACCTAGAGGCACTGCAAGCAGGAGCACAAACAAAGTGCATTCAGTCCTTAGGCCATAGTTGCCTGCATGCCATATGAGGAACCTGCACACCACAAAGCCATGAGCAACCCCAAATAATTATGGTGTAAACCAGCTACTTCAGCCAGTACCTGGACATTTTGAATAGTTCCAGCTAGCTTTTTTAGTGGGCTCAGCTGGGTTTGCTTTAGGTGAAAATGCTACCATCTGCTACAATTACATAATTAACCTTCACAGTTCAGGCTTAATGATACTCATTAAGCTGGAGTGTTTTTATTGGCTGAATGCTGTCACCAGTTTTTCATGGAGTGGCAAAGACAACCATAAATGCTGTAGTTTGAAGCATAATTGGCAATATGCAAGTGTTAAGTAGGGATATGGGCCAGGGAAGGCTGAGTGCTGGGTGGGAGATTCATTTTGTTTTATCCTGAGGTTGGAATGTAATGAACAGAAGTGGTCTGTTACATCTGGGGCACTAATAATAGTCAGCTACAGAAATATAGCAGCAAATTGGAATTTAAGTATGTCAGGACATCACAAGATCCTGTCATCCTCTGTTGGCTGAGTGACTTCCTTTTCCTCAGTCAGACCTTCTGTGACCCTGAATTCCCAATATTTCTCCATTTATTCTATCATTAGTTAATGAGTGCACTTCTGCTGCAGGCCTTTTTTTTAAAAAGAGTTTTAAAAAAGCAGCAAATAAAAGCATTTCGTTGAAGAAAATGCCTAGGGTCAAAAACTATGTGGCTTTATTCATCTGCGCATGTAAGACTGCTAAAGAATTAAGTTTGGATGCCATCAAAGTACGTTACCCCTGTTAAGAGTGTGTTTGAGTTAACTGCAGCCATTCTCAGACAGGAGCTGCCCCAGATGAACTTGTGTTGTCCCCCAGCGCTTTCTCTGAGCTATTGCACTGGTGCTAAACTCAGATACTGTAAATGGTTACTCAACACCTTAAATACACATAGAGAGAAATAATCTGCATCACAACGTAAGGTATGTTACAATCTTCCATAACCCAACAATTTATTTAAACTTATATCACAATGAGAATCTATTAATAAAATACATCAGTTCACACCAGTCTGCATTGCCATTTTTTAAGGGTTAGCATCTTTCTTCACTTTATATTAAAACTTTATAGAGGTAAAAACTACTGCATTGTACCCACGGTAGTTGAAATCTATTGTAACATTAGGCAGGTTACAGAGAAGCTTTCAGAGCTAATTACACTTTAGTTAACCTCACATTTTTTGGCACATCTGAATGCTTTTTATTTTCTTCTTAACATAAAATAATTCTATATCAAGTCATAGAATCATTGACATAAAGCATCACTATCCAATGGCAAGTGCTGCCTAAAAGCATACAAAAATTGCATCATTTGGTTACAAAATAGATATTCTTATTTCTTTGTCCCAGCACTTAGCATTGAAATGCCAGGACAGAAAGGGGCCAGGAACAGGGCCAGCCTTGCCGAGTTGTTGCTGGTCACTTTGCCGCAAGGCCTTGGTTAAATAAATCCCAGAGTGATCTGTTAACAAGATGCTGATGGCTTTTGCCTTGCCAGTCAAGGTTATTCCTTTTAAAGCACCCTCAAGCAGGTGTGAGGCCACAAGTAACTGTTACTTCCTTCTGGTGCATATTGCTGCTCAAGGGACAAAGCGAATGCGATTTTGGTTAGTGCTCAAGAGGGGCAGCATTTCTGCAGGCCTTGGCAGTTCAGTGGCCACGAGTTGTGCAGCAGAGCACACAGCGGGCTTGTGAGCTGGTGCTTACTCTGGATTTCTTCTGCCTGGCATAACAGCAGCTGCTTCTTTAGGAATTAAAATGCATTAAGCAGGAATGAAACATTCATGGTAGTGGTGTGCCAGGCACATCTTTGTGCAGGTGCCTACAGTTACTTGCATGAATTTTTAAATCTGTGGGTTTGGATGGTTTTTGTTGTATACCACAAACTCCAGCTGCTCTGAGATTCTGACACTATATTCAAAATAAAAAGAAGTCCATAGCATTTGCAACCAGGGTTAGTTTTCTCCTGGTTCTTGAACTCTCCTGTTTCAATCAGAATTCAGCACTGACTAGAGATTGGTTTTTGTTTCACCAACTGTGGGCTCCACGTACTGATACTTATTTTGAGAGGAGGCTGTGCTATTGATTATGTCCCTTCTACTCAAGTTGCTCTGGTAGTAGCAAAGAAATATGAATGAACTGCTGCAGTTAAGGAGAGATTTAAGAAATAGAAGAACAACAAGCACATTGGAGCTTTTTGGTTGTGCGATGGCTACAGGACCACTTTTCTTTAGTGGGGAAGAAGTACAAATGCGGATCATTCGTACTTTTCATGGCAGGATTCCAGTCTGTGGATCTTTCTGAAGTCTCATTCAAACAAAATGTATGCATTTACTTGATTCAGCTTTCCTACTTGTCCTCTGCTGGAGCCCATGATCTCTCAGTGAGACCAGTGAGCATTCCTGATGGGGGCTTTTGGCTGCTAGAAATATCATCTGATTTCATTAATCAGAAATTGAAGAAAGGACTGTAATACTTGTTATACGTGGGGATGAAGGAAATTACACTGATAATGGAACAGTTATCAATAGGGATGTTTAAAATTTATAGTAAGAGAAACTTCAAGGTATTCGTGGTACTCTTTGCACATATTACTGACCCTGAAACGTAACCCTGCCAAAAACCTTCAAAAAATCAAACTCACTCCCAAAGAGTCAATTTTTGTCTCACATTCACAGTGAGAATTTATCCCTGCAATGACTTCTGCTTCCTATTCAGCATTTGTTCTGAACACACCTAAAGTTAATGGGAGCCCTTTGGGAGAAACAAGTGCAGGATATAAAATAGTGCAGATGGAAAAGCTTTGGCTGAATTGGTCAGTCTGCACCAAATGTGAGAACGGAAAGGGATGTAGCTGTAAATGTCTCTCCCTGTGCAGAGAAGAATGCTGCTAAGATCAACAAATATTGGCTGAATACCTTCTCATGGCTATAGTGCAACTTCTGCTCATTAAAACAGCTGTGGAAACGCAGCCAACTGCTTGGCACCTGTGTTGATGAACAGGCAGCCACAGCCCAGTTTACATCCATGGCTGAAGCGACAGCGAGGGCAAAAGCCATTACGTTGCAGGGGCATTCTGGCACCTGCAATATTTTCATGCTCTTTATGACCTTTGCAAGTTAAAGTGTCAAGGCGTGACAAATTATGTAGCAGTGCATTCCTTATATTTCATATACAAAAAAAAAGGGCTCAAGGCCAGGAGCAAGAAGGCACAAACCTGGGAAATAACATAGCTTAGGAGTTAACACAAAACTACTATGTCATTTATTAGGCATTACGTAGCACTTATTTCACATTTTGCCCCCAAATTTCCCAAAGCAACATATATTTCCCCATTTTCTTTCTCTTTGTCCCCATCTTTTGGATAAAGCTGCCTGTGCTCTATAGATACAATTGTTGAAGAATATATTGTGAACACAGATAAATACAACATACACAGCAAAAATGTATTACAGTATTACAATAGTCAAATAATGTAGTTAGCCTTAAGCTACGGCAGTGCCTACGTGCTATAGGGAACCAGTTCAGGAATATCGAGCGGAGCCACTGTACAGGAACAAAACAGCATCGGCAGTGTTAGGCAGAGCAAGGGACCAAGGGGGAGCCTTTTTCAGGGTGCCTGGGTAGGCGAAATGGCTGTCACTTACGGGGATCCACTTTCTTACAAGACCCAACCCAGAACCTTGGAGATTTCTTCAGCCCATATCAATGCCGTGGCAGGTCCTTGGAACACCTTTACATTTGTCCATTGTGCATACATATAAAGTCCCCCCCCACATTTCTCCTGTTAGGCTATGTTTTCTTTATATATAGTTTTTTAAAATTTTAACTTTTTATTTTTTTTTCTTACAACCGTTAAAAAAGTTTCATGGTAAAAATAACTCACTATATGATACATATACCCAAAGTGGTGTGATACTTTATATAATAAAAGATGAAAATAGTCACTTTCCATAATAAAAATAAGTTCTATTTTTTGTTTATTTTACAATATACTTAATAATTCTTTTTCTTCTTCTTCACTCTGAAAGTAAATAGGTCCCATTTTGATAGCGCTTCTGAGCTGATTAAAGTGGCGAGAGACTGGAGAAGGGCTTACAAGCATTTTGAGCAGCCACATTCCACATGTCTCTCCAGTTCTTCTGTGAAGGTGGAGCCATCCACACACTGGAAGAAGTATTTCCGCCGTTTGCTTCGGAGGGGAACGCAGCACTGCCCATTGCTGCAGCCACCACGGCATTCCATGCGGGGTACTTTGGAGGCAGTGACGCACGACGTGTAGCCCTGCTGCTTACGGACTACTTCTCGAATTATCTCTCCTTGGCAGAGATTCTCTGATAAGACAACAGAGATGTCAAGGAAAAACGTGTAACTATTTTGCCAGATATTCCCCGCACATCAGCAAGCAGCCCCGCGCATGTAATGATACTCAAGGCAAACAGATGCTAGGAGCAGGACTGATCTTTTACTTCTTTGTACCTGCCATCAAAACAGAGCTTGTGTTACACAAATGTGCAATATCCGGCACAAGGCAGAGGCCATGCGGGCCTGCTGGCTTTGATCAGCAGTTCTGGAAATGCCTTAATGAATGCTGAGTGTTGAATCCTGCAACATTCCTGCAAAATATGAATTAGTTTTACATCTGCTTCTCAGGGTCAAAGGTCAGCCTGCTCTGCATGACATCAGCAATCTGGAATACCTGAAAATGTGTGTGCCGTTGTGCAGGTACTTTGTCACAGCCAGAGACATTTGGGTGAGACTGTGCATTATAATTTGGAAAGCCTGTGGTTCATTCACAGAAAAGGCACAGCCTAAATAGCAATCATGCAAGTCAGCTCCTTCCTTCTGTACAGGAAGGTACGAGGGCAGAAGTGATGAAGCTAGAACTCACTGAGTTCCAGTGAGCCTTTTCAGGTCAGGGCAGAAGATGTGAGCCCCAGCCCTAGAAGGAAAGTGCAGCGTGATCTGTGGGATGCCCCCAAGAAACCTGCCCAGCCACATCAGAGGGAGGAAGCTGGGAATCTTTACAGGGGAGAGAGGTGAAAACAAA